AATTGTATGAACGTAGCTTGCCCATTTCTTAAGTTATCACTTTTGAGATGGGGGTCGTTCAAAATAATTTCACCTAATAATTTCAAATGATAACATTGACTCTATTTACATTTTTATTTTTACAATTCAATACTAATAATATCCAAGGAAACATGTTTATTGTTTGTTTGACAAATATAAATGTGATAAATGATATCTTATTTGAAAACCAGTGATAACAGCATTGATTTCATTCAATGTACCATAAAGCCATGTGTCTCCTCTTTCTAATGGTATATCATTCATTGATATTAGGTCATGGTTGGGCGAGTAATCAAGCAAAGTGGGCCAAAATTACCTTTGGGCCAAGTTATAAACATCGCAAAAGTCAGTGCACAGGGCCCAATGCAATATTGGAAGAAAACATAAAACCAATGATGACTGCATCCTTTTCATTCAATGTACCAAAAACTCAAATTACTCCTCTTTACAATGGAATGTCATTCATTCACAGGGAGTCATAGTTGTCCGAATAATCATTATTTTGTAAAGTGGGGCAAAATTCAGCTCAGACCCAAGTTTTAAACATTGCAAAAGACAGTGCATGGGGCATATAGGATATTGGAAGAAGGTATGGGATGTGTGACATAGACTGTAAAGTGTCTATACTCATACTTTTGCAAGAATACACCCTATACCCCTCTTAATTGCCACCACTTCTTAGCACACAAAGATGCCCTCATCTCTCCATGCCATTCATTGCTCAGCTCTGAGTCATCTGTGGATTAAGGCGAAGAATAGATAGCTCCAAAAAAAAGTCACAACAAATAAAGTCAGGGGAAATTCCATAGGCACTTAAATCTTGCACTGATTTTTGCAATTTCTGAAACTTGGCCCAGAGCCGATTTTGACCCACTGTATAAATGGAAGGATTTCTCACCCAACCATGACAACATATGAATGAATGACATATGATTGCAAAGAGGAGGGGCGTGTCTTTATAGTACATTGAATGAAATTGATGTAGTCATCACTAGTTTTATGATTTTTTATGAGATAACTGCTTGTTGTGTTTTTTTGATACGCCTTGTATAATGTGTTTCCTCTACAATTCAAGGAAAAATCATCATCATATAAATATTTTAATTTTCAAATTTTGTATTTTTTGAAATATCAATTATTGAAATTGGCCCTTGAGTCAGTTAAATAAAATGATAAAAATTTTCCTTTTCAATTTCAGTGAGGGGGTGCAATTGCATCCAACACACCCCAGTCCCCCATCCGATGGATCTGTACATTTATGTATGTTCATAGATTTAACTTTTATTGCCATTTAGACCATGAATCAAAAAATCACAAGATAATTAATCAAATTAGGCATGGCACTAAATACAACCCTGGAGAACACCAATGATAAAGATAATAAAAAAACATGGATTTCACATTAAATAAATACTAGATATAGTATTCTTACTTCTTATCTTACTTGTCAAATCCTGAAGAACAACATTGATGTGCGATGAAGGTGAAATAAATATGTTAATTATTTTAAAAAACTTTAACAAGAAATACAGGTATCATTCTCAATTTAACAAATACAATAAATATACAATGTATCATTCTAATTACCTTTCAAACAAACAATTCATTAGTAGCTCAGTTCTAAACTTCAAAAAATTTCCGGATTTAATAATCTTAATTTTTATGGACCCCTGCCAGACCCTTTATTAATAAGTAAACTGTAATGTTGACAGGTGAAACTTAACAGATGAAAATGAATGTAGGAATATGTGTTTTAACATTTAAAAGTATCAAAACGAGTGCTAAATCAACAGGAGGAAACAGCTTAACTAGAGCTTATCTGAAAATTTCCTTAAGCCATATAAAGATCACTCATCAAAATCATCACTACCTGCTTCTCTCAAATAGCTACCTGAATAATTTACTAACTAGTGAAACAACTACCTGATAAAAAAAGTTAATTGAGAGGCCTGACAGGGGCTGTATGGGGTCAGGAAAACAGGAATTTGCATTAATTTTGAGATCTCTTTTTGAAATAGCTTTATTATGCTCAAATGAAAGGCAATTCGTTTTTCTGATTTTGGCCTCTTAAAATTAAAAATGCCACCTAATAAGGAATTTCACAATAATTTTCTGATCTCTTCAAATAGTATGGCTATCTTATACTCAAATTGAAAGAATTTTAGAGATTACAATCATAATATTGTTTTACTGATTCGTGTCTCATATTATACAAATTCATGAGTATAGTATTAGTTGGGATTTGCTATTCTGTACTAGTTTAAACACCTTTTGATTAAATGTCGTAAATACAGATGTAAAGGCCAATGTGTGCTTCTTCTCAATGGTCAACGTATGCCACTCTAATCAACTAAAGATAGATATATCAGCTGATAAGCATTTCTTATAACAGAAGATTAGCTTTAAGATAAGATGTGCCTCTTTAAGAAAGTAAGGTTGTGCCTCTTTATTTTCCAAAAACCTTAATTCACATCAGACAAAATAAGGTATTTATATCAAACTAAGGTTCTTATTTGTCATTTAATGGTATATGATAAGAATGAAGGACAAATGAAGGACAATTTTCTATTGTATAGTCATTTCCTCTGGTCAAAGTTTACCCAGTATTGACCAATCACAAACATTGGTTCGCTGATTGGTTGAGAAAATGTCAATTGCTGTTTGTTTGAATTGATTAATGACCTGGGCTTTGGCATCTACCAGTTGTAGGGGTATGGCTGATGGACTGTAAGATTGTACTTATTCTTGAGAGGTTATTTTTTAAATGAACTCTGTGCTCAGCGTTGTCATCTATAATCCATATTATTTGACAAATGTTCATGTAACTTCAAATTTTGTTCACTGAAATATAAAAATCAATGCAACTTTTCCATTTCAGAAGTTATCCCATCCTGTCCTCATAGCCTAGTGATAAACCTTGTGTTGTCAGTAGCAACACATCTGCTACCGAGTGAAGTGCCTATTTGCTCAGATGTTGATATATATATGGCCAGTTTGGCTCTACCTTTATCTCACTCTTATGAGACCTATGTTAAAATGGCTACTACGCAAAATCACAGGAAGATGTGAGCTTCTTCGTATCATCTACAATGATCCTAAAGCCAGCTATATCAGGTCAGAAAAAATTGGTAAGTATCTTCCATTATATTTTCAGCATTTAAAATATAGTCCTAGCATAACATTAGTGATGCAGTTTTGTGCATTAAAGAACTTTCCCTCTTCCTACACAGGGCCATTTTGCGTTTCGTGGATGAAATGAGGATTGATTTTATAGGACAGGTACTGATCTATCTGAAAACACTTCCAAGATGTATAGTGAATGATATCTTCTAATGGCAGTGGAGTTATTTGAAGATACATTTTAGAGCAGACTAAATGTACTTTTCATTTGTTTTCCATATCAGGCAGATTGCAGAGGTGGTTTAACAGTCTTCCCAGTTTATTAATCTCAAAATTTCAGTGGACAACTCATGGTAATGTTGTATGTTCCACTAAGCGTGGATACTTGCTGGTTAATGACAAATACAATAAAACATTATAATGGTCATCTATGGGATTCTCTTCTCAAGTCTTCAATCTTATTAAGAATTTGCAGCATTCTTTATATCCAAATGAATGAAACTGTTTATTAAACTGTTTAGAATTCACAAAGATATTTGGAAAAATGACATTTTAAAATACCCCAAAATAAGAACCTATAAGCTGTTTAAGAAAGATTTTGTATTAGAACCATATACAAAGTTAGACAATAAAAAGTACAGATTAGCAATAAGCAGATTTCGGTTAAGTTGCATCAGTTAAAAATAGAATCAGGAAGACATACAAAACTAAAATCAAAACCTGTAGATGAAAGATTATGTTATATATGTAAATATGTAGAAGATTTCACGTTATCATAAATTGTGCAAAGCATTCGCAACACAGGCAAATATTTTTCAGCAAAATTTCTGAAACTTTTGAATCTTATTAAAATAGGGGCAATTTTATTGCTAAAAATCATGTTTTCAGTCTGAATGAATTTGTTCTCACTGAACAAAGTTTGAGGGGGATATTGAGAAGCCATCTGTCTATCCATTCGTTCATTAATTTGTTCGTCTGGGTGATAACTCAAATGTAATATAAATGTACTTTTTGATTACCCAAATACTAGTTGACAGATTTGGTTCAGAATGTATATGCTGATGCCCAGTGACACAGGAGCTCTGTTGGAGAAGCAATTTTCAAGATGGGAGCTGAATCCTAAAATGGCCCCCATTTTTCAAAAAAGAACATATCGTTGATAATTCAAATACCAGTTGATGGATTTAGTCCAAATTTTATATGCTGGTACAAAAGAGCTCTACTCAAGAAGACATTTCAAAATGACAGCTAATAATTTCAAAATGGTGGTCATTTTTCATAAAAAAAACATCGTTAACTCAAATACCAGTGGATGGTTTTGGTTCACATTTTATATACTAATGCCTAGGGATAAAGGAGCTCTGTTCAAGAAGAAATTTTCATAGCCTTGAATAACCCAGATATTAGTGGCCCCTAAGTTCACCCGGCTTAACCCAAGGGATTTCCTCTTGTGGGGCCACCTTACAAGCAAGGTCTTCACAACACCCCAACTGATCTGAATGAATTTCAGCAAAGCATAATTGATCAAATCAATGTGGTAAACTAGACAAGATTTACTTTAAGGGACATGTTGAGGCAAGCTCATTTGCATGTATAGGCACAGCGGCTATGTAGGAAAATGACAGAATGAATCAATTAAATGTCTTTAACTATGAATAAAATAAGAATAAAAAGGAATGTTTCCTCTTTGTCTTTTCAACCACTGACAAGTTTGCACAAGTCAGATTTCACATGAGTCAATGAAATCTGTCTTGTGCAGGGAACCATGGAAAGGATTTTAAATCTACTGGTGTCAAAGAGAGCTTGCTCTTAAAATACTCACAATTATATTTTAGAGTAAATTCCAAAATTATAAAAGATGTACTTGTAACATTTCTTTATTGAGCTATTCTTTATATAACATCCACTTTTAAGCTGATCATTTATTTTGGTTTATTGTTTTTTGACATCATATTGACAGATTAGCTTCAATTCAGAGTTAAAACTTTAATTCACTGGATATTATCACTTACTTGAGTCTCTAATCGCTTAGATTTCACACCCATTAAACTTCCAAAAAATTCTAATAGTTTTATTTGTAAGTTAACATCTGTAATGTTAAATGCTATCCAATTTTCATTTATTATTTTGGATCTCAAAATACCATTCTATGGTATTGAACTATTCAATTTTGAGAGTAAACACTTTCTCTCTAATGTTCAGTTTTCACATACATAATTTTCAGCAAAATGCTCAAATAGTTTTGTATTTAAGGCATTGTCTCTTATGTCAAATATCTGGGGTTTTTTCACATATCGTCCGATGTGTTCCTGTCCCCGTGCTATTTCTGCTACTTGCTCTGATGCAGTTTTGGAAGTTTTCAAAATCTTAGTTGGAGTTGTAACCCAAATAACCTCTACATTTTGCTCAGATTTTAACCTCTCCATTGCTTGCTCAGATAAACGTTGATGCTTTGTCCCAGTATTACGTCCATCACCAAATACAACAACAACATTTCGATTTCTTTTTGGAATAGCATCAAAGAACTCTGCAGCTTTGCTGTAGGCCTTGTCTCCAAATGTTTTGCAGACTCTCTCATATTTCATGATTTGTTTAAGACCTTTCTGCAGTTGTCTTCGATTATTTTGGAATGGCACAGTTGTATTGGTGCTTGTCTCATGAAAAGGTATAATGGCAACATTAGATAGAGTTCTCTGATCAGGACTGAATGCAGACATAAAATCTATAATACTGTCAACTGTTTTTTCAGTTTCTGATTCTTTATTGGCAAATGGAACCCTAAAAACAGACAATTTTGATAAATTATCTGTTGGTTCTTTTGAAGTCTCATCACCTTTGAACTTTACTTCCTTGATGAAGCTCTCTATTATTCCAATGGCTTGTCGTTGATATTGCTTTACCACTGAGCATGAAACATCAATAACAAATATAATGTCCACACAAATCGGAGATCCACCTGGAAGAAGAAAATATCATTTTTGAACAAAGTCTTTTGTTTGCTTTACCTCCAATTTGTTATTATCAGATGTTCCCGGCATTTTGGATTTTCAGGGATATTTCTACCTATGAAAGTTTCTAACTCATTAGTATTTCGGCATTCTGGGTAAATGTTAAGGTGGCCATTTTGGATTTTCCATCCCGAAAAGTGTATTCTGTTCATGGGTGCGATTATGTTCACCGTGTGGCTTATTTACGAATTGGTTTCATTATTTCCGTTATTCTCATGAGTGGAAAGATCTCAAAAACATATTTCTAGGGAAACGTCCATTGATTTCTTTTTATTTTCTAAGAGTTCAGATAAATAAGTATCTTACAATGGTGACACTTTGTTCCTATCCCATTAGGCCATACACAGATTTTAACCTCAAATAAAGCGTCTAACCGTAAAAAACGAGTTCATTGCCTTGCCAAAAATGTTCTTAAAGCAATTTTTATATCACACAAGTTCACTGGTGATCCACTCGATTACGCTGGTTACCAAAACGGTTCAATTTGGTAACAAAATGTCGGAATGTTGAAGGTACGATTTTTCTCTTTTCCTTATTTCACACGTTGTAGGCAGAATTCCCACGACATTTTTTAACACAAACGTGTATCAGTATCATATGTTTAAGAAAATGTGCATATGTGCGAACAAATAGTTCAGAAGACAACAGAATCGTCGATTTAATTCTTCACTTAAGTTACATAAACGGTTTTTTGAAAAACAGTTAAGATCTGCACTTTTAACCCAAATAGTTATGTAACTTAAGTGATGAATTAATGAATGAAAGTTTCTAACTCATTAGTTTTTCGGCATTCTGGATAAATGTTAAGGTGGCCATTTTGGATTTTCCATCCCGAAAAGTGTATTCTGTTCAAGGGTGCGATTCGGTTCACCGTGTGGCTTATTTACGAATTGGTTCCATTATTTCTGTTATTCTCATGAACTTTTTCTAAAACATATGATACTGATACGTGTTTGTGAGAAAAAACGTCGTGGGGATTCTGCCTACAACACATGAAATAAGGAAAAAAGAAAAATCGTACCTTCAACGTTCCGACATTTTGTTACTAAAACGAACCGTTTCAGTAACCATCGTAATCGAGTGGATCACCAGTGAAGTTGTTTTTGGGAATATCTAAGATCAACTCATCTCTGATGTATTAAATCTCTGATGTGTTAAATTTTTATGATGATCACATCCACAATAAAAAAGCAGTACCCTTCTAAAAAGCTCTCCTTATCGGGGGTTCTCCTTTGGAAGATTTATTTTTTCAAGAGAAAATTTACAACTGAATTGCTAAATGAATTGGCGCTATTCATGGCAAAATATGTTAGGTCTACTGATATGCATGAAATAGGAATCGAAACCAGCCATAGTTTTCTCCTGATGACCATTGTGAATTATTGTGTTTTATGGATTATGGCGACAGCTTTTGTGAATGGATGTTGACCCTTTGAAACACCTATGGACTTGGAGACTGGATTTTATCTATCCCACATCATTTGAGACTGAATGCTCTATCTTGTATGAGTTCATATATCTACAACTATTTTTGAGGTTATGAGTATTGGCTATCAATTTCTAATATTTTCTTCAATATTTATTGTAATGACTTCAGTATGAATGAAATGTCCCTTGGTCTTCTGGTCTTGGATTGTGATATTGGTTCTTGAATGGTGGGGGAAAGGGGGTATTAGACATTGTTTCTTTTCACGTTAGATCATTGTTTTTGGCTATATGGGTATTGTTTTTTTCTTGACTGGTATGCACTTAAAGTTTGCTTTTTCTTGCTAAGTCTAAGTTCCATTACAACTTTTGGTCCTTTCCCTTTGGCACTAGTGCTTATATATCTAAGATATGAGATCTATTAATAAAAAGGTGCATCATCACCAACATACAAAAGTCAATGTTTTTGCTATAAATCAGGCAACAATGGTCTACACAACCTGTAATACAAGTAAATAGGTATAAGGGACGTTATTATCACAACACTAATGACATTGCTCACTTTTTTTAAAAGTTAGTTTCCATGGGTTATACAAAAAAATAATCGAAATAAATTAATATTGGATGGAGGGGGGAGTGGATTGAAAATTCAAAAAAGTATTTTAGAGATTTTTGAAAAACAAATTTTTAGAAAAAAGTAAAAATGTCAGCCTTTTGTTCTTAAACATTCAAATTTTCTGCCATTTTTCAAATAAAAATTGAAATTTTTTAAAATGAAATCTTCCTCTATACAGTGCAAAACATATTGTCTTTTTTAAAACTATTACAAAAATTGAAGGACACACTTTTTCAATATGTAATAAAATGTCATATCTAAATTGTGTCACTTCAATGTTGTAGCATATTAAAAAGAAATTTGCAATTTTTGCATTTTTCTCTGAACCATGTTCATACTTTGATGAGTTTATTTGGCAAAAAAGTGAGGTTGAATGCTATGCATTGATGTGAAGTATCTATTATTAAAATAGAGGTGCTGGCCTCTAAAATTTAGTTTTAAATAAATTCACGATTTTATCGAACAAAACGTATTTCATGACCATCAAACAGATACTGTAGTGTTAATGTTACAGCACTTTGAACAACACGCCCCAGGTAATCATGCTGTAGGCCATCCTCCACAAGTTGTCAATGACCCGAGTGCATTCCTCAGCAGGTATGGCCTGAAAGACATGGTTGATCTCCCTTTTGAGGTCTGCAATTGTCCTGAGTCATCCTTGTACATACTACCTTTGGCATATCCCCACAGGTAGAAGTCAGATACAGACATTTTGGATGACATGTGCAAGTTTGCCCAAAGTGCAATAGTGGCTGCAATACTGGCCACTGGAGCATGTTGTTAAAAGCGCTGTAGCATTGTGACTATCAGTCTGATGGTCATGAAATATGGTGGGCCAGTAGGCTAAATTGAATGATGTATATACGTGCCAAATATCAGGGGGTAATTCCCTAAAATTATTAAGGTATGAATTAAAATGGTGGTAGGGTTGCCATTTTTTGACAACCCTGTATGAGAGATATCTGAAAAAAAATTGTCAAAAGATGACATGCTAGATATCTAGCTAGTATAAACAGATATAGATATTATCAAGATTGATTATATTTGAAGGAAATTTATCATACAGAAAAAATAATTCTTGTAATTAGTTTAAGAATAATTTTCAACTAAAATGTTTAAAATAAATTCTATTAAGATTGACAAACCGAAAACTGGATCAGGAGGAAGGGTGATTGGAATGGTGGTTGTTGGAGTAGTAGTAGTAGTAGTAGTAGTAGTTGTTGTTGTTGTTGTTGTTGTTGTAGGTAACACTTCTTCGCATTCTATAGATGTCATTGCTCCGCAGATTGCTGCATTTGTCTGGCCAAACCTTTGAACTAATTGCCTCTTTGTCAGTTCCTCCACATTGCCATCTTCTGTCTCAGTGCCAATACATTTAATCCGTACTGTTACGTTGCGTTCGTCTGGAGGCAAATCCAGTTGGCATTTACTAATGGTCTTGCTTATAACAGCAATTATATTGTTTGCCTTTGTTGGTTCACTGATCCCTAGGATGATAAATGCCCAAATAAGGAGAAAGTATTTGTATGAAACCTGCAATCAAAACATTAGGATTATGTAAAATCTTGTTTTATGTAAAAAATTGTTTTGAAGTATCAACTATCATTAATATTGTACATGTTTACCATTTTTTGAAAGTAAGTATTATATCAATTGATATAAAACGAATGAATAAACAAAATTGTAAGTAGATTGATGTAGAAGGATTTGATAATTGTAAAAATCAGATCTACCATATTTAGTATATTCCTGTTGTTGAAGAATCCTGGATGTTGTGATGAAATAAAACACTTCAGCAGGATATCATAACTTCTATGTTGCCCTTAACTGAATGTATAACAAGTCATGTTGAATCCTTGTTTTTCTCAAGAAATGAATGCCTGGTTTGAAGTTTTACTATATAAAGCTTTATTAAATGTATATGTCCTCCTCTACTCTGTATCAAGCAACTTGTGTCTTTAGGGGAAAAACATAATAATTCTTGTTGAAAGGGAGTCTCATAAATGAAACAAGCAAATTAGAGGTTATAATAGCCACATTATTTTTACTAAAGTTTATATTTATGTGCTTGCTTAATCATTACAACATTATTTATTGAATGATTATATTTCATTTCATTATGGTTAAATGCCATCTAAATGTTTGAATTGCTTTATAAATCATTATTATGCTGTTCATCTTTCAAGGCATCTGAGACACACAGCATCGCATAAAACAAGCAGTACACAATCAACCTTATGCTCTATTCTTTACCTTACCTACCACCTGAGCTAAAAAGTTATTAAACTCGGGAAATACACAAAATAACAGAATTTTTAACAGCCCCAGAAAATATTAAAGAACCTGGAAAATTGGCATAAAGCACAATTTGCTTTTGACATAACAATGAAGTTTCTGCCACTTTTGCAAAAAGGATCCCTCCTCTTTGAGCCTGGTTATTTTCTTTGTCTTTTCCAAGTGATGCTTTTTTGGGCATTTCTCTTGATTTTAGTCAAGTAAAGATGTGATGATTCATGTAGTATTGTATCAATGTATCCCCTGTTTTGTTTTGTAAAAAATCTAAATCTAACTCTGCTTAGTAACTGTTAGAATATATAGAGATTATTCCATAATAACATGTTTTCCCTGGGAAAATAACAGGGAATAAAAGTGTTATTTGAAAAATCCCGTATCAGATCCCGTATCAGCCAAAATCCCGTATCAGATCCCGTATTGGATCCCGTATCAGCAAAAATCCCGTATCAGATCCTGTATCAGAAATATTCCCGGTAATTTCTCTTGAGTTTTACGCTTTTCGTCTAGCACATCTCTACAGGAAGTAAAAAAATCGTTTGGAAAATTGAAATTATTGAAATTATTATCATCTAGTTTACGTCTATTACTGTGACAAAGGTCTATTACTGTGACAAATATGTCTAGGTATGCAACAGAGGATGTTGATGACTTCATTAAAGGTCAAGAAAATATCAATACTTCGAAGAAAACTAAAAGTGACATAAAAATCCTAGTAGATTTTTTACGGAATGAGAGTAAAGGTCAAGAAAATATGTCTAGGTCCATTCTACATCCACATTTTTCATTAAGACGTTTCATGATATTGTGTTTATTTTGCCATATTATGAGCCATTTTATTGTTATAAATTATTTATATTTTTAAGTAAAACTTGATAATAAAAGTTGAAAATGTTATTTGATAAATTGTATAATTTTATGTCACAATCATTGGATGATGACATACAAAAATTGAAAAAAAAATATTATGATATTCAGGATATTGGGATTATCCCTTGGCCAATATACTATATTTTCCCTCGGGACCTGCGGCCCTCGGGCAGATATATTATATTTGCCTCGGGATAATCCCAATATCCTGAACCTCATATAGGATAAATAGAGGTTATTGATGGTCGTGATGGAATATGGATTTATTCCTTGAGAAAATATGATATTGGCCTCAGAAAATATCATATTGACACTCGGGCTATCGCCCTCGGTCAATATGATATTTTCCTTGGCCAATATCATATTTTCCCTCGGAATAAATCCATATTCCATCCCTCCCATTAAATAACCTCTATTTATCCTATATGAGGTTCAGGATATTGGGATTATCCCGAGGCAAATATAATATATCTGCCCGAGGGCCGCAGGTCCCGAGGGAAAATATAGTATATTGGCCAAGGGATAATCCCAATATCCTGAACCTACTATAGGATAATATGCTTATCCCATACCAATCTTGGTCACCTGGTTCATATTGTTCAGTCGTGGAAATTGACAGTCATTACGCGAACGTTACAAATTATCAACAAATTTGCGACCAGCGATTATGACGTAGCGGGCAGATATACTATATCTGCTCGCTCGGAGCAGGACGTAAAGCAATATCTGCCCGCTGATGAAAATATAAGTTTTTACAAACCGGCTTTATGTACCTGTAACACGTCCAAGTATGGGATAAATATAGATTATCCTATATGAGGTTCAGGATATTGGGATTATCCCGAGGCGAATTTAATATATTTGCCCGAGGGCCGCAGGTCCCGAGGGAAAATATATTATATTGGCCAAGGGATAATCCCAATATCCTGAACCGACTATAGGATTATATGTTTATGTACCTGTAACACGTCCAAGTATGGGATAAATATATATACTATACAATATTCAAACCAAAATTGCAATATTTATGCATAATATGTATAGATATCATTTCAGTTTGTGCAGCTAAATCCAACCATCCAGATTAGCTACTGTAATATATTGTTTTGAATTGTCCATTATTGATTCCCTCTTATGAAGTATTTTGGAGGGAATCAATCTTCACCCTTCCATTCCTACTCATAGAACTTGCATCATCTGTAATAGAATAACTATAAATAGAGTACTTACTGGTTTTAATTAAAACTCTAGCATTTTTCTCATCAGGATTCATATGGGCGCTAATAAGGACAACCTTTTGAACTGTTTTGACTTGTTTTAGCATCCGAGTGAGCTGATCCCAATATAAAATATTGGCCGCTCGCGTATGTGACATGTACATGTACTAACATGTTCAAACTATAATATAGAACCTTTTCAATATGGGAATTTCTTCCATGTTTTTTGTACACCTTTATCTGCTTAATAAGGCAATATATCTTCAAATAAAACCTTAGCTAAGTAGCTAAGTGTCCCTCAAACACCTTTGTAAAACGTTTTCAAAAGCAATTTTGTTTGTGTCTCTTAAATTTTATCTTCCTGATTTCATGGTGCAGAGAAATTGTAATTTAACTGAATTTCTCCACAAAAAAAGAAAAAGATTAAGTTAGTTTTTCACTGGCAATTGATGGCTCCATGCTAAAGCATGGGAGCAGTATGACTAGAGGATTGTTCATCTAATGGACACATTTTCATGATATCATCATCAATTTAATTGTACTTCTATATTACTGGATATTCTTGCTCTTGTATGCCTCTTTTGGCAAACAATGAGAAGAGTTCACACCTCACACCCATAAAATTTATAAAAATACTCCATAAGATTTGTATGTAAATTATCATCATTTACGTCAAATATTTGTGTACCGTCCACATGGCGTTCAATATGTAACTGACCACGCACTATTTCTGCTGCCTGTTCCAACTCAGTTTTAGAGCGATTCAAAATTTTTGTTGGAGTTTTAATCCAAATAACATCCACATTTTGTTCAGATTTTAACCTCTCCATTGCTTGCTCAGATAAAAGTTGATGTTTAGTCCCGGTATTGCGGCCATCACCAAATACGACCACAATATTTCGATCTCGTTTTGGGATGGTATTAAAGAAATAGGTAGCTTTATTATAAGCGCTGTCTCCAAAGGTTTTGCATGTGCGTCTTCCATGTTTCAGGAGTTGTTTAAGACCTTTTTGTAGATATTTCCGATTATTTTGAAATGGAATAGTTGTGTTGAGTATTATGTCTTGAAAGGGTATGACTGCAACATTGGATAGACTTTGCTGGTCTGTGATTTTGTCAACACCTTCTTTATCATATGATTTCTTATCAGTCATTGGTATCCTCTTGAATTTGATCATGTCACTTTTAAATTTTATTTCAGAAATAAAACTTTTAATTATTTTTACAGCGTCCCTTTGATATTTTTTTGCTACTGTACAAGAGGCATCAATCAAAAAAATAATGTCCATACATATCTTTTGGTCATCTGAAAAAAACAAGACATGGTTTACAAACTTGAGACAATGAGATGTATTGTTGATTTCTTAATTGCATATTGTCTTGCTTCAGACAAGCCGGAATAGTACAATACTGGATGAGCGTGGTGTAAAAGTGGTTTTGAAAAATGGCAAACTTCTTTTCATGTTGGTTATTTGTGGTTTATTATTCTACATTGATTCTGAAACCACTGGTGTCTAGTTTTTCAGCGTTTTGGAAATATGCAGATTTATACCCCCTGGTGTGATTTTAAGGGGGGTACTAGGAAAGCCATATATTATTCCTAGAATATATAATCAATCATCTTGATATTTACAGGTAATCATCTACTTATCATGTCCTACCATTATGACAAGTTTCATTAAAGTTGATCAACTGGTTACTATGGTAACGGAGATCAAATGTCAAAAAGTACACATTTTCGTCAAAATGTAAGACACCCGATGAGACAAAACACATATTATTTTCATGAAATTGGGAGGAATCACCATGAAAATATTTTAGAAAACCTATTCAGAGTATGTTTGATAATATTAAATCAACTGCAATTTTATCTTATCCACATAGTGGAATCTATTGCTCATGATTATATGGCAATGCAAATGAATTTAGAAAGGTTTTTGGTTCTGAACTAATAGGCTCTCCAATAATAATCCATGTTATTATTGTAAATATATATATGCTGTTACTTCATTATAATCTTGCAAATAAGTTATTCTTGGCAAGAAAGAATGCCATAAATGAATATTTCCAATGGATATTTGTTTGATGTGCATAAATGAATGAAGTCATCAAATGTTGAGCACCCAAGACCACATAAAAATTGCTGCAAATTTTTGAAAATTGAAAAGTGTCCAGTTCATATGAGAATTCTCTGTTATTTTGTTGTGTTCTAGAAAGGTAAGATATTTATCTTGAGCCACTGGTTCAGGAATTGTCCTAAAAATGGCGGACAAGCTTACAGAGCAGCTTTAAGTATGATGTTGTTATTATACAGTACAGGAATGATGAATATGTCAGGCAAATAGACACTGTTGACTTAACCAAGCTTCAGCAGAACAGATGCCTTTGCCATGATGGGATTGATTCATGAATCAGAGCAAAATACACTCCTTTTCTTTCAAAGGTCCATGTGCAGTATGGCAAGTGATTTTAGACTGTCATGTCTTTCACCATGAGTACTTTCTAGGCATAAATACGGTGGTTTTTATTAAAACAATATGTCCTCTTTCAAGTGCAGTCCACATGATAGTACAATATCAATCCAACTCTGAAAAATTATGAATAGGAACCTCATGTCAACAACTTTTTGAAAATGTCATCAATGATCATTCAACAAGGGGTCTAAATTTCTTCAAAAATAGAAATAGTTTTGACGATATCAATTTTTGATGACCAAAATTATTCTGAAAACAATGGAAAGCACGAGTTTTCCCTATGGGAAAATAACATGGGATATATGACAGTCTAAAATCACTTGCCATACTGCACATGGACTTTTTTGTGAAACTACTTGAGACTGACTCACCAAAATTGTCGGGTGGAAATTTTAATACAGTTTGAGTTGTCGCTGACAGACTTTGTATCGATGGAGATGTTGTTGGTAATGGAGTTGTTGTTGTTGTTGTTGTTGTTGTTGAAGGACTTGGGGGGGTGGTGGTCGTCGTTGTAGTTGTTGTTGTAGGTAGCACCTCCTCACATTCTATAGATGTCATTCTTCCACAGATTTGTGCTTTTGAGCTTCCAAACCTCTGCTCCTCCACATTGCCATCTTCTGTCTCAGTGCCAATACATTTAATCCGTACTGTTACGTTGCGTTCCTCTGGAGGCAAATCCAGTTGGCATTTACTAATGGTCTTGCTTATAGTAGCAATTATATTGTTTTTTAGAATATTTGCCTTATTTTGTTCACTGAGGCCTTGGATGATCAAAGCCCATAAATAAAGTAGGTATTTTGAGTAACCCTGTAAATAGAATGTTTATGATTATAATTATTTATACATTGATTATTTTCACATATTTTTAATTATTTTGAAGGAAAATATGTCACTATATCTAACACCTTGATCAATTATCCTGTAAAGTGATCAGAAAGAAAATAAACATTAGTAAGACAATTTATAACATTTGATGACAATAAAAATCATATGTACCATTTTAAGTATATTCCGTCGCTCAGGAATCCTAAATACACTTAACATATGGAATCAGGAAATCATAACTTGCACATTAACCTCTAAACATCAATTTATAGTAATTATAATCTACAAGGGCCGATCAAAAAGTTTCTTACCATTGGCTCTAAATTTATGATAAGAGGAGTTGGATGCTCAAATTTTAAAACAAGAGAGGGTAGTTTAAAATCTACTTGGTTCTGGAAATTTCTAAACACTAAGTACATGTAGTGTCATCTATCAACAGACTGTAGTTATCCCATCGAACGAAGTTCAGAGGGATATAGGGAACGCCTCCGTCCGTCCGTCCGTACGTACGTACGTCCGTCTGTCCGTCCGTCCGGGCAATAACTCAAATACCGTTGGCCCGATTTTGTTCATATTTTGTACACATATACCTTATGGGGGTAGAAGTTCTGCTCGAAAGCCGATTTTCAAAATGGCCGCTCATTTCAAAATGGCGGCCATTTTAGTGCCGATTTCACAGTAATTTAGGTACAATATGTAAAACTGTTATAGCAATATGTTTTAAATGTAAAAAAATTATAAAGGACATTAATAATGCTACAAATGTAGATATTAAAGAAGCACATGGCAGCCATCTTGAAAAATGGTGGCCTTTACTCGTCATTTTACGATTTTTGCTATAACTCAAAAAATAGTGGAGCGATTTTGTTCATATTTGGTATGTGAATACTATAAGCATTGTACACTGTCTTAAGACACTTTTGGTAGAAGGTGGCCATTTTGAAAAATGGCAGCCATTTTAACGTATTTTACTATAACTCGAAAAGTAGTGGAGCAGTTTTTTCATATTTGGTATGTGAATACTATAAGCACAGCACACTGCCCTATGACACTTTTGGTAGAAGGCGGCCATTTTGAAAAAAAAATTGAAAAATGGCCGCCATTTTAACATGTTTTACTATAACTCGAAAAGTAGTGGAGCGGCCATTTTGAAAAAAATTTTGAAAAATGACCGCCATTTTAACGTATTTTACTATTATTATCGAAAAGTAGTGGAGCGATTTTGTTCATATTTGATATGTGAATACTTTAAGAATGGCACATTTTCTAATAAATTTTCTTTTGAAAAATGGCCACCATTTTTATGTGTGTTATTTTACAAGTACGTGTGCGATTTTTCAAAAATTTTAGAGGTGGCTACTGAAAAGCATATTATTTCTTCTGATGACAACTTGGCTAGTGAGCAACCATTTTGAAAATGGTGGCCTTTCTTATGTGTGTTGTTTTATGATATTTGCTATTCGTTTGTAAAAATGCCAGCCATTTCTGTTCGATGGGATTCGCTATGCTTTGGCGTTGCCGTTGTTCTGGTTTAATCATGTTGAAGTAGTTTTTATACTCATATTCATTCCTCTTTAAAATATCCACTCCCAGCCGCAATGTACTACCTAAATCTGTCCATCTTGTCCAAAAACATGTTTAAGGCCTCCTTATGAGAGGTTGTGAACGCTTTTGGTAAATGTCCAGAATCGCAGCTAAGCAGATTTTAACGCTGCTCCACCTTACTTAATCATTGAAAATGTGTAATGACTCCGTGTCACTATCAATAAACCAATTTATATAAAACTCATACAGTTTCAAGCAAACTAAGTATACTGTCTCCTGTTAAAGTCTGAGTATCCAACTTCTCTTATCTAGAGCCAACGGTAAGAAACTTTTTGATCGACCTTGTATAATCATAAATATGTAACATAAATAACAAGTACTAGTGAATGGACATTCATGGTTTTCTCAAGAGTTTTGATTAAACTTTTGTTGGTACTTTGAAACAATATGAACAACTAACTTGTTGCAACATTTGTCTTTTAATCAAAAATATATCTCATTAAAACAAATTTTGGTTTTTGCGAAAGGGATTTTTATAACTGAAATAAACACACATAAATAAGAGGCTATAACATCCCTTATACCTGAGTTAATATTTACATACTAATGTTAATAGATCCAATATTACTCATTATGATGATCTAAATTATGTTTAATACCTATCTAAATGCTTAATGCCTACTGAAATTGCTTCATAAATTATCACAAACCTCATCTAAGTATCACAATGTAGAACTCTATCAAACTAACCCTTGCTTATATTAAATGCACAGGATTATGATTGATGGCAGAATGTATGAAAAATACAGAAATTGTGAAAGCAATACGCAGAAATAACTATGAAATTTATATAATATATTTATACAATTAATGTATAATTGTACTTAACAACTAAAATGAAAAAGTGGTGTAGATTTTTTGTTCCATTTTTAACAAAAATTGTGATGTTTGCTAAATATTTTTATCCCATCGAACATTTATGTTTTATATGTATTTGGCCCATGTAAGTACAAGTTCTGATCTAAAGCCAATTCAAAATGGCCACCATTTCAGTGTCAATTTTACAAGTTGAAATTCTAATATGGTGACCATCTTGAAAATCCAAAATGGCCACCCGATGTTGGATTTGCAGAAATTTCAGATCGCTTCAAAGTATGTATTATACTCAAATCAAAGATGTTTATTTTAGAGTAGATCACATTTATTGTTTCATTTTTATCATATTTGTGCTTCGGAAAATAAAAAAGGGTCATCTCATATTAGAATTTTCAATAATTAATAAAAGGTTGGATATAACTATTAATTAGTGTTTTTCACTCCTTTTCAAAGCCTTACAGCATGTTGCTGTGTATACATGTATATAATACTAATTTTTACATATTTTTTCATTTTTTAAGTGGATACTCATCTTTCATTCTCTGTAAAGAAAACAGAAATTGATAATATTGATAGAGTGGGAACTGTTATAATGACCCTACTTTTAGCAATTTTCAAATGTTTTGTCCAGTACAGTTAAAAAGGTACAACTTGATTCAATTACAATAATACTGCTGTTTTTGGGCTAATTTCTCAGAAGCATTATACACTGTATTATATATTTGTATTAATATGAGGAATCAATTCCAATATGATAGAATGCTAATATTATACCCAAGTAAGAGCTAATTTTGTATATAAATTTGGGGAATCCACAACAGTTTTGGGGTTTCTCTATCGTTGTTATAGGGAAATGATGTTACATTGCATTGCAATTGGCTACCAGTATTACATCATCGATATGCGTAGGATGGTATGGAAACATTCATTGTGACATTTTGTTACTTCACTTCTATAAGGTTCTAACTACCAATTTTGGTCAATTTCATGTAAGAGCAGATTTCCCCTCATTCACTATGCTCTTTTCAAAAATGAATGTTTAAAATTAACAGAATTTACAGAAATAGGAGATTTTAAAATCAATAAGGTTCTATGATGATTTGATGAACTAAACATAATTACTGCTATATGATTCTATCTCTTTTCCCATGCTTGAGATAAAACTTTTTAACATGCAATGTCATAGTTCAAGTTGGAGAAAAAACCTTTTTACATTGAACAACATAGTATATACAATGTGACATACAAAATAATACCAGCCACCTACGTAACTTGTTTGTTCTTGTTCTTTAGCACAGAAAACAATATACTTCATGGAGAGCAGCTCTACAAGAAGTTTCAGATGACTAGCTCAACTACAAGATGTGTCATCTATTCCTTTACATGTACACCTGGATTCCACACAAAAAATGCCACCCGCCTTTTGTAACATAATTTTGTTGACAAGTTAAGGGATACATCATGTTTGATCTGGATAGATAAAAGGTTACCCTTCGCAATAGTGTGGCTTGCTTCATTGACTAGCCCTTCCACTCCAGGGTAATAAAATGTTCTATCTCCAAAAGGATTTCTTAAAAAATTAGCCAAAACATTGGCATTTCTTGCCATACTGATCAGGAATGATTCATCTTGGCTTTATGACGCATAAGCATTCATGTCAACATTCTATTTTACTGTATCACAAAGATAGAGGAACCTAAATGTTTGTTCTCCATTTTCTCAAATATGGTACAAGTGGATATAGAACCTTTTAATGTTGGAGGGATGAATGATTTTGGGAATTCCTAACAATTGTCAAATACTATCACTTCATTATTAGAGCACTTTAACATTTGATTAGAAAGTGAACGTGTATTTATTACATTTAATTCATGAAAAGGAATCTAATAGAAGATATTCTTCAAAAACTCATTTTATTGTTTTTTAAGCCCCTTGATAGTTATATACGAGGGGCATTTGAAAAGTTAGTTTCTTTTTGTTCTAATTTTTTTATTTTTACAGATCTGTTTACGAAACTTTCAGCACATGTTCCACATACATATATCAGGGCTTTCAGTAACGTGTCCTTAACATTAAGAGGACTCAGATTTTGATGAAAGGACTCCAAAAAAATGATGATCGGTCCCTTGGACGCAAAGTGTTTTCATTAACAAAATTGATACACTTACCTTCATTTTTTTATTTGGTCAAAATCCGCAAAATAAACGAAGCATATCATGTATTATTCTATTTCTAAAAGAAATACAATATTTTCTTTCGAAGTTTCTTTTCCTTTGTTGCACTGCGCATAAAACGGAACTAATAAAAAACTGATAAGAAACTTTTCATCCATTTTTTCATTCAGTGTAAAATGTGACTTTGAATTCCTGGGAACCTTTTTTCAGGGGACGCACTTTTTTGAGGGGGGCTCACTTTTTGAAAATCAATCCATCCCAGTGACCAATCTTGTACAAACATACTGCAAGCACTGTATATCTTGAGTATACATGAATATAAATATAATTCCTAAGAAACTGAGCTTTTTTTATGTAAATAAATATTTATTTTCACATATTATTTTTTACAGGTAATTAATGTTGTTTACTGTAGAAGGAGAGAGAGAGAGAGAGGAAGATTGATGATTTTTGTCACTTTGTATAAATTGATGATATTAACGCAAGAGTCTGCTACAGATATTCCATAGTGTCTCATGTTGTTCCATTTTGTTGTTTTTCTTCGCTATGTATTTTTCCTTTTCTTTTTGACTCTGGAGGTATATTTTAAAAGGACCTAGTTCTGGTCTATTGTCTCCTAATTTTTTTTAAGTATATGAAATGTTTCATATGAATCAGTAGCTTATTTTGTTGTCTTTTGTCTCTACTGTATCCGAAAATAATGTCTTTATTTTCTGGTATGTTTTCACCAGCTTCGTCATAGCACGTTTCCAAGAAGTCCTTTGTGGCTGTACATTCTAGGAATCCATGTTCGATGCTATCTTTATGGTTCTCATTGCATATTGTACACATTGGCGTGTTTTTTCCCTCTATATTCATTTTGTTCAGCATTTTATTGAAGTAAATTGTTCTGTGTAATAATCTGAACTGGAAGTATCTAAGTTTCGCATTTTCTGTTATCACTTTATAAGTGGTGTATATTTCATCCCATTCTTTATAGTTATCCTCATTTAAATTTAGCACCCTAAGCCACTTGTCTTGTGCTTTTATTGGTTGTATTTTTATCTGTCTTTTAAACATCCTATAAGTGCTTTTATTTGAGATGTTTGGCAATTGTTCTCTGAGTGGCTTCCAGTTTGTACGAATTTCTCCCCCTTCCACCATTTTTTGTCTCCATGATATTGGTATACATAGTACAATTTTGTTATAGTCTAAGAATGTTTGGTGAGCTAAATTATACTTGGTTTCCAGTTCTTGGAATCTTAATAATTTGTTCTCTTTATATAACTGATGTATATGCCTTATTCCCTTAGATTCCCATTTATTGTTGTTTATAGTTTCTTTTCTGTTGAGAATGCAGCTGTTATTCCATATAATTTATTGTTTTATTTCTTCCTTCGTGACAAGTTCATTTGCTGCTTTGTAGTGTAGCTCACACCATATTTTTAGTATTTCATCTATGCTTGTAATGTTTACCTTGTCTTCTAGTGTTTTTGGGTCCTTAGCATTACAATTCCATTTTCCCCTATTATCATAGTCATAGAAACTGAGCTTTTGGTTGCCATGGCAACAGCGAGACTTGGTTCCATAGAGCACCTTAAAAATTCAATGCATGAGACATGCATTCAATGAAAAAACTAATATTCTTTTTGAAAATCAAAGTTATTTGATTAAATTGTGTTGCCATAGCAACAAGCAAGTGGTGTTATAGTGTTCTACAGGTGAATGGACTCACTGTGACTCAGTGTGATGTCATAATTTTCCGTCAAAATTGACTTACTCTCGTCACTTCATGTGTTGGTTTATATCACAAGCCAATGAGGAGTGTATTAATGATTAACTTTCCTGTTATCTCAAAATCTGCTTTGAACTATACCATTGGATTACTATGGGAAATTCCTCAAATAGAAAATTCTTGGGATTAAGGAAGGGGTACCATTTACACAATTTGAGAAATTATTGGGATGAAACCTATTTAAAACAGCATTAATATTATTCAAAAGCGACCGTAATAATGATTCCCAGCCCTCTGAAGTATGAAAAATAACAATACCTGGGTGTTAATCCATAAATAATCCTTCAAAATGAGAAATAATTTTTTGGATTATATGATGCAATCTTATAGTCAATAAAATGTTTTAAAGTGTATTAAGGAAAATGCATGAAAAAGCTCCCCAGATTCATTGTACTTAAGTACAAACAACTTGCGGTCCTATTGTCTTGTTCTGATCATTCCTGGTATTTTTAGAGCAAAAGCAAACAACATTTTCAAATGCCCCTCGTACATCCTTTAGCTCAGATTTGACACACATACAGCAGAGAAAAATGATTCATCAAATCTGTATCCAATTTATCAATATCATCTGTTATGTCAAATATTTGTGTATTTTGTACATGCCGTTCAATATGCATCTGTCCAAGCATCATTTCTTCCACCTGCTCCATCTCAGTTTTCAAATGATTCAAAATCTTAGTCGGAGTTTTAACCCAAATAACCTCTACATTTTGCTCAGATTTTAACCTCTCCATTGCTTGCTCAGATAAACGTTGATGCTTTGTCCCAGTATTACGTCCATCACCAAATACAACTACAACATTTCGATTTCTTTTTGGAATAGCATCAAAGAACTCTGCAGCTTTGTCATAGGCCCTGTCTCCAAATGTTTTACATTTTGGTTCATATTCCATGAGTTGTTCAAGGCCTTTTTCTAAATCTTTGCGATTATTCTGGAATGGAATACTTGTATTTAGGGCTGTCTCGTGAAAGGGTATAACAGCAACATTAGTTAGACTTTGTTGATCAGGACTGATTTCAGTCAAAAGGTCTATGATACTGTCAATTGTTTCCTCAGCATCTGTTGCTTCATCAGAAAATGGTACCCTGATAATTGAGTCAAATTTGGAATCTTCTACTGTCTCATCACCTTTGAATTTTACTTCTTTAATAAAGCGTTTAATAACTTCAATAGCCTGTCTTTGATATTGTTTCGATACTGTACATGAAACATCAATTATAAAAATAACGTCCACACAGGTTCCACTGGGTTCATCTGGAAATATTAAATGATTATTGTTTAAACACCATATTTTCTTTTGATGTCTCTTAACAAAATAGCATTTTGTTTGGTGTAGGCAATAACCCAGATGTGAGTAGATAGTTACCAGTTTTACCACCAGGTGGCTAATTCAGGTAAGATAACATTGCAAGGATAGTCTAGAAAGTTCCCTTAAAGGACAACTGAAATAGGTTTTTCAACTTGCAGCTACAAAAATGCGGTTTTCTTCATTGTAAGCCTAACCTAGAGTTTTTGGGATAGCCATTATAAAAGAAATGTTAGATAAATGTTATTGGTCATAAATAACGTAATAAAATTAACTGATCAATCAGATTGGCCCCCACATGATTAGTAACGTCATACATAATATTTAGTTTTGGTTCATTGGTTTTTTGGTAATCATGACGTTACTGCAACCATATGATTGTTGTGTGAACAAACAAAACATCTTGCCATTATGATGTCATGATTTAACGGACCAAAACGGGCCACGTGGGTACCAGTGAAAGATCACGTGGGGGCCAATAACGTCACAACATATTCGAATATTGCTTATTATGCAGCTATAACGATCGTTAGACACAATTCTGATGAGAAAACATGTCCAAATACATTTATCAAAAAAGTATATTGATTCCTTTAGGTCAAAAATACCATTTCGCATCTGCTTTAAACTTAAAAATCGTCAATTTAAGTTGATCAATTTTCATATACCCTTATGTATGTCATAATTATACAATTGCAAGTATGTCCAGTAAAAGAAAATGTTATCTGTCCAATACAAGAAAAGATATTTCACTTTTTGTGATTTTATAACAGGAGGTCTTGGGAATCTCCTCGACCTAAAAGTCATATTTTGAAAGAAATTTATGCCCAGGGGTGAAATAGCAAGAATTGAGTACGACTGAATGAAAATTATACGCATTGAACGATATCTTTTTTCCCGGGGAACATTGCCAGGCTGTTATATCCATTATTGGCCCGTCACTATGACGTCACATATTGCTCAGGTCAATATAGTAAAATATATGTCGAAACATAACTAGTACTATTACCACCTAGAACAGGTCTGGCAAGGTGGTATAATAATATTTTATGATGTAAATTAAGATTGTTTCTTCATGAATCTAGTCTATTAGGAATTACATCATTTGTGCGTTTTATAGGTGAGGTTTAGAGTTTGTTTTCAATGATAAACGTATATTGAAATGTTTATATTATTTGTAATCTTGATACAGTCCCATTTCATCAATGTATTGAAATCTAAGAGCAAATACCATATACATGTAGTTTTATGTAGCTTAGCTAGGAGAATAGACTTACATAACTCGTCAGGTGGTGGAAGCATTATTGGAGTTTTTGTTGTTGGTGGTGGTGTTGGTGTTGGAGGTGGTGTTGTTGATGACAGTTTCACATCCGGACATTTCAGAGGGTTCATTCCTCCACAGAGTTTTTGATTTGTCATTCCAAATCTCAATGCCATCTGTTTTTTGTTCAACTCTTCCACATTGCCATCTTCTGTCTCAGTGCCAATACAATTTAACCACACTGAAATGTTGCGCTCCTCTGGAGGCAGCTCCTCTTGGCATTTACTTATGATTTTCTGAATAGATGCAATAACATTGCCATAAGAAGTTGTTGGTAGATTAAGCCCTTGGATGACCAGTGTCCATAGAAGGGGAAGATACTTAAATGAAGGCTGAAAAGGGAAACAAGATCTCTCTACTATATGTGATTAGATTACATTAAGATGATTATTTTCAATGTCCATGAATCGTATGATGGAAATAAAGATAATGATGTCATAACTTTTTTATTTGTTCATGGATTGCATTGAAAGTTTCAGAGATTATAGTTTTAAAATATTTTAAGTTATTGTTGGAGTTTCAGCTTCAGGCAATTTGATTGGTTGATTCTGCGGTTGTCATAACAATGCAAGTAGCGCTAAGGCGGGGCAGGTGGAATAACTGCAGTATATTCAGATATTTGCATGTTTTAAATGTTTTTAAAAGAGATTCTGTCTGTGTTTATGACTTAAAATGGATGCTTAAACATAGTTATAACTATAAACCTGAAACTCTTTGCCAAATTATCAATTTATTATACATAATCTCCTCTATTCTAGACACAAACTCTTTGCCTCTTGAACCTTCTTCAAATACTTCACAGAATTCTTCTTGACTCATTTCCTGAAGTCTGTTCAACACATGTGAATGCATGGCATTAGTATTCTCTAATGCATGTCCTCTTAAGTCCCGTTTTGATTCAGCAAAGAAGTATAGATCATTTGGCACTAGGTTGGGTGAATAAGGTGGATGCTTGAGTTGCTCTAATCTCAGCTGTTCAATTTCTTTAGTGATTATGGCAGCAGTATGGGAGGGGGAATTGTCCAAGTGGAAGAGAAATTGCATCCCTGGTCGCTTTCTATGTAGTACCTGCATTAAGTCATGAAAATCCCATTGATTATCATTAAAAAAGCATTTATTTGACTTTTATATCATAAAACAAAACAATAGAAGAATTTTATCATGGAGTTGCACTAAGAAAGCTTTAAATATGGAGTCAAAATCAGTTTGCCATGCTAAATGTTACACAGAAACTACTGCAGTTATTCCATGTGCCCCACCTTAGCGCTACTCGCGTTGCTATGCCAACCACAAAAATGACAAATCAAATCGCTTGAAACTGAAACTCCAAAAGCAAATTCAAATACTGTATGTTCAAACTATAATCCCTGCAAATTCTATTGAAATCCATGAATAAATAAAAAAGTTATGACATTATCATCTTTATTTCCTGTTTCCTGAACACACTGTACGTATGATGTATCTTTAATTAGTATTTCAATGAATGCATACAATTAATGTTAAGTTTTTTACATAGTCCATGAAAGGATTCAATAAATATATAAATATAGAATTACCATATTTAGTATTCTCCTGTTGTTTATAAATGGTGTTATGCTGTCCTGAAATACTTCAGCAGGAAATCAAAATTGTATTGTAGTCATCAACTTTGTAAAACTTGTTCACTTCTGAATTATCTTAGAAATTGATGTCTGCTTGAATCCCTGAAAATAATTGTTGCTCTTGTCTTAAATAAGGAAATTGAAAATATTACTGAGGAGGCAGCATTTGATAAATGAAACAAATAAACAAGGAGATATATTATCCATGTTAATATTTGACCTTATATTTATGTGCTTGTTGAAGGTTGCATACTTACCTATTATTATTATGCAATTAGAAAATGTCATTGTATGAGAATATAATAATGTCCCAAGTGCCATTTTTGAAATAATTGAGATTTTCACAGATTACCACTATTTAAATCATACTCTTTCTTACTGTGATATTCCCTTACCTTTATCGTTGTTCTGTGTATCACTTTAACCAATCAAATTGTTTGAATTACACCATGTGACTAAGAATTATTATATATATTACAATTTTAAACTGAGATTTGAATTTATTTTTTAAAAAACGAATAGAGAAAGGATTGGTATCCATATAGTGAACTTTTTGAACGTTTCTCTTAAACCAGTCATCAAAACATTCTGAAAATTTTACACATCGTCAATAAAATGGTCATCTTTTGGATGGTAACATTATAATTTGAAATTTATATATACACTTTCCTCTATATTGTTTAAGAAAACACATCAGACATTTCTTTTGTTCTTGGTATCATATGTTCATAATGAAATGAAACATCTATCCGAACATCATTGGAACAAAACGACATAAACACAACATGTTTAGGTCTCTCAATATTGTAATTGTACAAAGGAAAGGTTGGTTGATTTAAAAAAAGTATCTTGTTAATGATATAAACGGTTTATCTTAATTTTTATCTATTTTGGGGGTTTTGTTTTAAGTTTTTGCATACTTTTTGTTAAATCAACCAAAAATTCCTTTGTATAACTATAATATTGAGAGGTCTAAGAAAATGTTGTACAGTTCGGGACATAAATAAATGACAGGTGGATTTGCTGAAGTGAGAATTTCCCATGTTAAAAATAAGAGAATTTTCAAGAGGCCATACATCAGTGGATGAGATTATACAAAATGTGAAATATACAAATTTTAAGGGATATGTATCTAGACAATATTGGAAATTATGGACTTTCAGACGACCATAATTAGGAAATGGTGATCGAAAATCGACCTGTCATTTATTTTTGTCCCCAATTGTATATGCTATTTTGTTCCAACAAGGTTCGGAAAGACATTTTATTTCATTCCCAAGAATTGGTAGAAAGGAACAAAAAACAATTGCACGAAAAAACAAAAACAAAAAAAATGGTAACAAAAACAGTTATATAAAATATATATACTCCTCAAAAAAAGTTAAGGACCAGTGGTTTTCCTCAACATGGGATCTGCCATTTTTGTTAAATTTCATGAAATTCATCAATTTTGACATCAAATTTTGACCCAATATAATGGAGATATAACATTGAAACGTTGCGGACTTCATAGGAAATAGAATCAAGATACAGATTTATTTACTTTAATGGGATTTCTTTTGTTCCCCGCTAAGAAAATAGTCGTTCAAACAAATATGGGGTTTACATGTAAACCTATGAGGAATTTTCAAGCGAGCCTCTATCTATCAAAATATGTTTTGTCCGATCGAACAGAGATTTCATTGAGAAATATGTATGAAAATTCACATGCTAAACCAGTGAGAGAAAAACAAGGAAATAAGAATTTGTCCCCTCCCCTGCCTGAATAGCATTATGGGTAATATTTTGTCTATATGAGGAAAGACTTCCGTGTCTCCTCGTTTGAAGAGCAAACCGCTAAAAGGAGAATTCATATAACAGCAGCTAGTGTGAAGGGGGAGTTCAGGGAGCAGTGGGTTTCTGCAAGAAAATTCAACTGTGCGATTTCTTTTTCACAAGAAAATATACAAATAAATGGCTAAATGAATTGGTACATGATAATGTGAAATCTGTTAGATATTTTATGATTTTTTTTTGATTTATTTCTTTTAAGGTGTGAGATCTAATAAAAAAGGCACAATGTTACTAGCATGCTATAAAGTCAATCTTTTTTCTATAAATAGATGACTTTATCATTACAAAATGTTGTTATGTTATTGTTGTGTTTTTTTTAAATAACTTGCAAAACATGTAAAAAGATAATCAAAATTATACAGTGAATGGAGGAGTAAAATGAATGGTTTGTGGGGGGAGGGGGCGTAATTCTAGATACCTTACTCCCCCTTCATTTACTGTCATATTTTGATGTTCTAACTCATTTTTAAAAAACAGCAATGACATTCAGTTTGTGATGATAATGTCATCTATATGCATTTATTACAGGTCATGTAGCTTCTACTCCTTGATTTATCACAGAAGAGATTGACTTTTGCACACTGGTGAAGTTGCACCTTTTTTAAAAATACATCTTTTTAACATTAGAAGTGTATCAGTTCAGAAAATACAAGATTCAGCAATTTATTCATAAACATTCTTGTGAAAAAATAATTCTTGCAGATTTGTTGAATGTTTTAGCTGAAATTGGCTGCTCTCCCTCTATTTATTTTTCCAATTATGTAATTTTTTTTATGTAAGTTTGCAGACCCAAAGAAACAGTAGAAAATATTCACAATTAGAGAGATTTTGTAAATCACTCATAAGCATGTATAGACAGGTTCCAATTTCAGAATATCTCAAGGGAAAGACTTTTTGAGGCATTTTTTAGAAAAAGCAACAGACCTATTTTTTCTGGATCAGTTTTTCATGCTGATAAAGATATTAAAAGATGACAGCTCAACGGGGTGGTCACGACACTGCATTTTAGCGTTTTTACCCCCCTAGGAAATTATCTTAGGGGGTACTATAATATTAGTTCATAACTCGAAGGATATATAAACTATTGTTCTGAGTTCTACAGCATACATTGTTAGTACAGAGATGAATACTATCCTAAAGTTATAGGTTGATATCTTTGTTGGTTTCGGAAAAATACAATTAATTAGAAAAAATATGCAATTATTGTCATTTTTTTCTTGTTTATTTTATATTTGTAGCTTCAAGCAAAATATGACAGCTTTAACAGCTCAAAGTAGTATTCTAACAACATTCCCAAGCTATGTTTGATATTGTAATACATCTGTTATAGTGATGAAGTACTATTTTGTAATTTTAATATGACTTTATAATGCCCTACCCCTGGTAAATAGAAGAAAGTTGGTGTGGTTTTCTTCTGGTTTTAACATTTTATTGACTTCTTAGTTGAAGATACAATCAATTCTTTCAGTTAACCATGAGTACCTTTACAATGGTTAACTATTCCCATGAATAGAGGGTTGGGACCTCAAAAATACCAGAACTGTTAAGTGGCATCCTTGGGCATCCCTCTTCAGAGCATTTTCTTTATACTCCGATGAAATCTGCAGGGGATACTATAAAAAAACTATATATCTTAGATACTAATGAAGATACTGAATTCAAATTTTCAGGATTTGGTCCTGGTATGATAGGTAATCTGTATGACAAAAATGACAAAAAGAAAAAACTCTGTTGCCATAGTAACAAGAATACCACACTATTTGTTTCCTAAGAAATGTATTTTAAGAGGTTTTGTCATTCTCTTCATATTTTTAATTCTAAATATGTCTACAATGTGGGATGATTAGAATTATGGTAAAGTAATCTTTTCTATTGTTTTATTGTTCTCTAAAACAGAAGTTGCTAAGGCACATAGATATATAGATCATAGAAAAAATGCTGGGATGATCGCTCTATTTGTCAGGAAATTAAAATGGAAACTGAAAAATGAGTTTCTTCCCACTGAATAGCAATTAATTTGGTAGACTGATGGCTGACACGCACAAGAGAAAACGTTTATCAGTTCTATGTCATTGTGTTGTTATTTTTTATTTATCGTGGTCTGGGACTTATAACACCTAATGCCGAGTCTTCTCCAACTGCAAAGGAAGGCAAGATTTTAATAATGAACATTCATATATCTCAACAAATATGGCCTAAGACAATGATGAGGAAACTCTGAGGGAAAATTAGACGAAACATTAATGTGAGTGTTCCAAAAATAACACTAACATGTTTTGGAAAAGTTATGCTCTCGGGTGAATCAGTGCTCATTTAAGGATAGTCTGAATCAGGTGAATTTTTTAACCTAATTGTACCCCTCCCCAAAACCCCCAAATTTTGACAAAATTGTCGAAAAGTGGCAAACAACATTTATTAAAGTTCAATATGGCTATTTCGCTTCTATTTCATAAAGATATGATACAATCTCAGGTCAATCAATAAATTTCACAAGTGACACTCTATGTTATGAAGAAAATACTATCGTATATTTGAAGACATGTCAAAAATTTGGTGGAAATAAATTGTGTCACTCCTGATTTGACCTGCAAATGTTCAGGTAAGTTATCACAAACAATTTCAGACAGTTATATCTTTGATTATGACTATTTCCTGACCATGAAGACAGGTATACAGGGATAATAAAGTCAATCGGACTCGGAGATATTTCACTAGCAATCAACCCATCAATATATTTTTTCAAAGTTGTTGACCTCATTTTCACCAAAAATGCAAATCATTTTAACAATGTTTCATGCATTGCTATTCTTTATTTTAATATATCAAATAGCTCTTGAAACGAAAACTGAATTCCCCTAAGATTAGTGTTCCCCATGTTATTTCCCCTTTGAAAAGGTTCATGCTATCCATTGGTTTCAGTTCATTTTGGTCATCCAAATTCAGTGTCTTTAAAGTCCCTGGAGCAATCCACTTTTCCTCTTAGGAAATAGAACATGTCTCAAAGCATATTCTAATTATGCATTCAACAATATAATTAAAGGTTGCATCTTTGGTAAAAACTAGGTCATCATTTTTAGTAAAAAGTATGTTGATTGGGCCATTCCCTTTAATATCACTTAGGTCTGATTATTCATTATATTTACTTTTCTTGAAGATAATGAATAGATCAAAAAGACATACCTATGTTCATGGTCAGAAAATATTCATAATTCAAGTTAGAATTGACCTTTTTCCATATAAATGAAAAATAGATGGCATCATGGGTATTGGTAGAGCTTGGGTAGGGCTAGAATACATGTAAATGTATTGCCAGAGTCACTTAATTTCTTGATTTAAGAAGTAATTCCATTTGGATCAACTTAAAACATCATTGGAATGTAACTTTATGATCTTATTGACATGTGGATTTTGATTTCGCATTAAAATTGTGATCCTTGGAAGAGTAAATGAACTTTTTAAGGTTTTTCAGCATTGTGTCAATGCGGATTTAGCCCGACCTTTTTTTAGACAACCAGTAAATCATTAGAATTTGAATAATGGTAAATTACAGTGCAAATCAAAGTTGTTTTGATAGAGAAATTACTCACATAATTCAAATATGCCATCAGATGGAAGAAAACATTAGTTTTTAATGGTTAAAAATGCAGATCTCCTAAAATCTCATTAAAAACAAGACCTTAACGAGATTTCAAAGCTATATGGAAAAAGGACCAATGGTCCTTCTTGTCTGAAGTTGTTTGCGATAACCTACATGCTCCTTTATAACATTATTATGTAAATACTATCAAATGCTTTAGTCATGACAGTTGAAGTAAACTGAAGTATTGGTATTTAAATGCAGAATCAGATCTATGTAGAGTAAACGAAATTGAAAGCAACATGTACAGTTGACAGTACAGTGTGATGCAACATCGGTGGGAAAGTCATCTTTGGTTAATAAAAAAGATTCTTAGCTACTTTTCTAACATCTGGCTGTGATGCATCATGGCTTAATGAGGACTCTGCTATATGGTCAGATGATGAGAACTAACAGTTTTACGGAACTTTTGCCATGTTTTGCACATTGTAAATTACCCTTCTGAATGGGTTGTAAAGGTATATACCAGGAGGTATATATGGCTCAAATGACTCGTGCCCTAGTACATAGGGCACTGTAGTACATTACTTGTGCATGGTGACCACCATAGTCTAGTTGCTCAAATGAGATCAATTGATGATTATAATGTTTAGACTTTATGTCAATGTCCTCTCTAGTATGTGATTACACTAGATTTCATTATGATACATGTACTAAATTGAAAACTTACATATAAAATATCTTAAGTCCTATATTCTAGTAATAAATGAATTAGAATGTCACCTAACATTTGATGATGGTATAGATTTATTGATTTGGTGTCTATCAATACATGTTTCTAACTTAATGCTGCAAAATGATTAAATTCACCACATCCACTTTCTTCAATTTTCCAGGGGTAGGGGACTATAAAGTCATATTAAAATTACAAAATAGTACTTCATAACTAAAATAGATGTATTACAATACCCCATATAGCTTGGAAATGATTTTAGAATACTACTATGAGCTGTTAAAGCTGTCATATTTTGCTTGAAGCTACAAATATAAAATTGGCAAGACAAAAATTGCGTATCTTTTTCCTGTTTATTGTATTTTTTCTGAGACCAATAAGGGTATCAACCTATAACTTTAGGATAGTATTCATATTTGTACTAGCAATGTATGGTGTACAACTCAGAACAATAGCTCATATATCCTTTGAGTTATGAACTAGTTTCATAGTACCCCCTAGAATATTTTCCTAGGGGGGTAAACATGCCAAAATTCAGTGTCGTGACCACCCCGTTGAGCTGTCATCTTTTAATATCTTTATCAGCATGAAAAACTGATCGAGTAAAAATAGGTCTGTTGCTTTTTCTAAAAAATGCCTCAAAAACTTGAATTATTAGAATTGGAACCTGTCTAGTATCTAAATCCCTAATGTTTATAGCTTATAATTTTTGTGTACTCATAATTTGACATTATTGTTAATCTGGAATTACTGTACAGTGATAATTGGCTTAAAGTGTCTGTGTGATGCTCATGGGGTCAAAATTCAGTTTATACATGTTTTAAATGAAGTAAACACCACTTACAAGTCAAACCATTGTACCGTTCTTGTAAATCTTTCTACAAATGTGAAAGGAAGTAATGAACTTGCCATTGTGATCTACCCATGAAAAAAAAGAAATTCTTCTGATTTTTCAAAATGAGTATATTGCTTTTATTTTTACATTTATATGCACACTAGTATCTTGTTGACCTATATTCAGCACTGTATTGATGTATTGGCCACTTATTAAGCTCATAATTCAATCATGAAGTGTAGAGATGTAGATTCCAAACCAGGAAGTATTTTTGTGTCTATCAAAATCCATTTGCATCCCTACATCTTATACAAATATGATACTAAATAATAAAATATAATATTATAATCTGTGGTTTTGCAAAGTTGTATGATATTTGATGAGTGTAAAAGATGTTTTTGGAGCATTTTTCTATAGCCATTTTGAAGGGAAAAAATGATGAAAAAATGTACAATCGATTGCAAACTTCATATTTGCACATTTGATGAGATGAATCATTTGTGTCATATCGTGAAATTATTAAGTTTGCAATTGATTCAGGTCATAGTGTATTTTTGGTATTTCTGTGATAATCAATGGAAACCAATGGCCTCTATTGGGATCTGCTGATATCCTCATGTTAAGTCAATGGTGCACAGCCCCATGTAAGTCAATACAACCTTACTGAACGAAATGACCCCTATCTCAGCTAATGTGTGCCCGAGCACTTTAATATTTTCCAAAGTATTATATGACATGCTATTCTTCATGTTACACCTAAGAATGATTCATTTTGACCATAGGGATATTTGCCAATAATTGCACATCTTCCTTTGATGTTTAAAATCAGGAACCAATTGTCAAGTGCCAATCATGACATCACGATCAGAACAGGTTTTGAACATGTTGCTGGAGTTTATGATCTCCGAACGTGCTTATAAAGTGTCAGTGTTATTGATTGCCACTGTATTCACTGCAGTGCGGAAATGATTCAACTTTGACTACTTTGGAGCCACGATTTTTCTTCCGATGAGCGAAAAATATAATACCTCAATTAGAGCTCCCGACCCTGTGGTGCGTTTTCACAAAGCTAGTCATTCAGATTTACGTTCTGGCCAGTCAGAATACAGTATAGAAACTATATACACGTTGAGTTGATCCTGTTACATACATGTAACTCAATGCTGTTTAAAATCTTACAACCAAAAGGCATTGAACCATAAGGTGATTTTGAGAAGCTTTACTCCTTTCTGGCCAATCAGAACACAGTATAACATGAACACTTTTGAATTTACATGCATAATTTGGCAGAGAAACATAACATAACATCGATTGTGAGAAATTGTTCAAAATCTGAGATGATACTGATTCTCATCTAAAATGACATTGATAGACATTTTTTGTCATTCTACAGGCAAATCAAATGTTCAAATCCAATTTTCATTTATTAATTTGGATCTCAAAATAACGTTCTATGGTATTGAACTATTCAATTTTGAGAGTTAACACTTTCTCTCTAATGTTCAGTTTTCACATACATAATTTTCCAAAACATGCTCATATAGTTTTGTATTTAAGGCATTGTCTCTTATGTCAAATATTTGCGTTTTTTTCACATGTCGTTCAATGTGCATCTGGCCACGTATTATTTCTGCTGCCTGTTCTGATGCAGTTTTTGAAGTTTTCAAAATCTTAGTTGGAGTTGTAACCCAAATAACGTCCACATTTTGCTCAGATTTTAACCTCTCCATTGCTTGTTCAGATAGACTTTGATGCTTAGTTCCAGTATTGCGGCCATCGCCAAATACAACCACAATATTTCGATCTCGTTTTGGAATTGTATCAAACATCTCCACAGCTTTGTCATATGCACTATCTCCATGTGTTTTGCATATCCCTTCATATTTCAGGAGTTTTTTGAGTCCCTTTTCTAAATCCCTACGATTATTTTGGAATGGAATGGATGTATTCAGGGCTACCTTGTGAAAGGCTATGACACCAACATTGGATAGTGTCTTCTGGTCATAGCTAATTGCAGACATAAGCTCTATGATCCTTTTAATTGTTCCTTTATTATCTGATGATTCAGCGGTAAAGGGTAGCCTGACAATAGGCAAGTGAAATGTTGAATCTTTCCCAGTCTCGTCACCTTTGAATTTTACTTCTTTAATAAAGCGTTTAATAACTTCAATAGCCTGTCTTTGATATTGTTTCACAACTGTACATGAGACATCTATTATAAAAATAATATCTACACATGTTCCTGCATCATCTGAAAAATAAGAATAAGATTATTTCTGAAAAAGTGCTTTTTCTTATCTTTTTTAATTGAAATAACATTCTTTTTTCCTTTGTAATAAACTTACAATGGTACATTTACATAAAAAATATTCAAAAAAAAAAAAATTCAAGTCTACAGATATCTCAATATCATTTGTTTATGGAACTCCCCTGTGAGTTTACCTGTACAGTTGTTATAATTAAAAAGGATAGGTATCGATATGGTGAACTGAATTCAACAATGTTTTTCTCTTAAACCAATCATTGAAAACATTCTGTTGACTGATTAACAACAAATTAAACAGGCAATGCGCCTATTTTTTGAATTAAAAAGGACAAAATATTGTTTGAGACATGTCACTCACACAGTCAATCAAATATGATAAAAACTTTAATTTGGGATAATACTGAAGTGAAAAAAAAATTACTTGCATAGAAAACAGCATTTGAAGTTCAGAGATTGAAAAAAGTGAATTACCACTTTTCACAAATAGTGTATGTTTTAAATAACTCTTGGATTAAAAGATGGCGTATGCTTGAAAATTCACAACTCTGATGTGGTCTGTTTGAGCTTTTTTTGGTGTCAAATGAAAGATTGGGTACTTATTAATCCATTGGAAATACTATGAAGATCAAAAGTGAGACTTCATTTACGCACTTTGCCCCTTTAATGCGTAAATTATTTAGAAATATTTTATATAACTGTTTTTGTTAACATTTTTTGTTTATTTAGTGCAATTGTTTTTGCTCCTTTCTACTAATTCTTTAGAATGAAATAAAATGTCTTTCCGAACCTTGTTGGAACAAAATAGCATATACAACATGTTTTTAGACCTCTCAATATTGTAGTTATACAAAGGAATTTTTGGTTTATTTTAAAAAGTATTCAAAAAATTAAAACAAAGTCCCCCCAAAATAGATAAAAATCAAGATAAACTTTTTATTTCATTAACAAGATACTTTTTTAAAATCAACCAAAATTTCCTTTTTACAATTACAATATTGAGAGACCTAAACATGTTGTGTTTATGTCGTTTTGTTCCAGTGAGGTTCGGAAAGATGTTTCATTTCACTCTGGAAATGTGATACCAAGAACAAAACAAGTGTTTGATGTGTTTTCTAAAACAATATAGATGAAAGTATATATATATTTTTAAAATTATATTGTTGCCATTCAAAAGATGACCATTAAATTGATGATGTGTTAAACTTTTAGATTTTTTTTGTGACTGGTTTAAGAGAAACATGTGTTCAAAAAGTTCGCCATATCTGAAAAATAAGAATAAGATTATTTCTAGAAAAGCGCTTTTTCTTATATTTTTTTTTAATTGAAATAACATTCTTTTTCCTTTGTAATAAACTTACAATGGTGCATTTACATAAAAAATATTCATGATCGAACAAAGATTCGAACATGACTGGATATACACCTTCTAAGTGTGAACAAAGTCAATAATTCACCAGGTATGTATTTGTCTTTATTGCACCTGGTAATACGAGTAATGTGTGACGTCATAACGGCAGGCCGTAGTAATGGCGGCCCATAATAAATAATAATAACATTTTGGTGAGTTTTCATGTTTGAATCGTAATATAGACCTATTTTTCTTCATAAGATATGTGAAATAATTATAAGGGATATATGTGATATGAATATATAAGATTGACTCACTCTCCGGAAATGGTTGTGTTGGTAATGGAGGGGGGGATGTTGGGGTTGTTGATATTCTTGTTGTCAATGTTGTTTTGGTCTTTGGTGGCCCTGTTGGTGGCGCAACATCTTGGCATTCCTTGGTTGCCATACTTCCACAAATTTGTGTATTTTTTGTTCCAAACCTCAGCGCCATCTGTTTCTTTGTCAATTTCTCTACATTGCCATCTTCTGTCTCAACACCAATACACTTGACCCGTAGTGTAATGTTGCGCTCTTCTGGAGGGAGCTCCTCTTGGCATTTACTTATGATCTTGAAAATTGATGCAATTATACTTTTTTCATAACTAACAGCCTTTGTTGGTTCACTGAGCATTTGGATGACAAATGCATTCATGAGGATAATGTATTTAAAGGAACCCTACAAGTGAAATATTAGAATTTATATTATTAACATTATAAATTATGTTGAAATTCATCATAATGTAGTTAAATAACATATTTTAAAGTTTGAATGTAATTTTTATTTATATTTGCCATGTTACCTAATCTGGAATTTTGATAAAATATTGTAATCAAAGCTGAGAAAAAAATTAATCTTACTAAACCTTTATTAGATTTAAGGATTAAAAGGAGTAAAATTCAAATCTACCATATTAAGTGTATTTCTGTTGTCCATTAATCCTTTTTGTTGTTATGTCCTGATAAATTTAAGCAGGAAATCATTACTTTCATGTAGATATCAACTAAAGGATATAACTCATTGGTTTTCTTAAAATAATTGATGTCTGACATGAATTATTAATTCTTTTAAGTCTTGAATATCAACAACCAGAAATGCATATATTATCCTTAGTGATGTCTCAACTGTATTTAAGGCTCCATATAAAGTTTAAACCACTTTATTATAGTCCTACACAATGTTATCATACATGTAATGTGCTATGTAAAAACTATTCAATTTACCGTATTCTCTGTAATTAGCACCAGGTCAAAAATTGAAAATACATCTTTCAGACCATTCTAATAAGGGCCCATATATGAAAGAAGTCAAAAATCTCCAGGAATTCAATCCGTGGTAATTTTTCCTGCCAAGAATGTCTTTTTTGCAACACCAAATGAAGTAACAGTATATTTTTACAATAATGATATGTATTGTTATTGGAGAAATCCCCAACAGAGCCCCTGGAATTGAAGGAATTGTTTTCCCCCAATTTTCTTCCATATTTCCACTGTATACATTTGGATATCAATCTCAAATTATATAATTATATTTGATTGGGCGATAATATGTGAAAATCAGAATTCGAAGCCTGGTTTGAAATAAATATTATCTTACTTACTGTTATTTCACGCCAAATCATGTCTTGTGTCGTTTATTTACCATAATATTACGTTTCTAAAGGACCAACTATTGGTAAAATAAAGAAATATTGCGATATTTATCAGGTAGAAGTTTTGACTTTTATTTTATCGTCATAATAACTACCGCGCATCAAAGGATGCGCAGACCGGAAGTTGGATTTTCCTACCCGGAAATGAAATTTGGTGAGTTAAAAATCGTTATTCTGTAAGTTTTCCTGCTCTTTTGCTCTGATCACAAATGATTGTCATGTTTCCAAAGTCGCATGTGTGCTTATAGGGAGTGTGCGCCAATAGGCGATAATACGGTATATATTTATTGGGAGGACGCATCAAATTTCAAAATGGGTCATGTTTACAGTAGTTTAGTGTAAGCACTCTATTATCGCCTACTCCAATTACTTTAGAAATTAGTTTTTTCAGATATATTCGTTAACACTTGGTCATTCCTCAGTTCTTAAACTTTGTGAAGTGAGGGCACTTGTTAGGGGGTGGGCGCTAATTACAGAGAATACAGTAATTTCAAAAAGTTGATTTTGAATTTTTGAAGTATGAATTTCTTTCAAATAAGATTTTAGTTGTCATGTTCATATATTGTTAAGTGATAATTTACACCAAAACATCCTAACCTATTTTTCGTCAAAAAATTAAGAAAGTTGGTTGAAAAATAAGCAAGAAATTAACCCCTAAGCGCAGAAAAGTGGTTCAGAGCAAAAAGCATCTTTAAGTTTAGTTCTCATTGGATCCAATGCTACATAAATATTTAAAACATGATTAAACTTCTCTTCAACCTAGATAGGCCAGAATAGTGACATTACAGCCTATCACCATGACATGACAGTTTATATATGCACAAAATCATAGATTGAATGGTTTATATAATATGACTTTTGCCTGATCTATTCAATCGAGTAAAGAAAATAATGTGTTTTACACATTATAAGATGAATGACTTTTTTGTTTTTAAAAAAATGTCTTAAATGTCATTTCAACTCATGAAAAGTGATATTTAAACTATATTTTCAAACTTTACAAGTTTACATGTGGCATTTAAGTGAAGAAAACAAACTTGATTTTTATAAATTGGATGAATATGTTAAAGATTATCGCATCATTCACATTATTTATTGAGCTCATATTTATGTGTCTGCTTATAGGCCGTACTAAATAATTTATTATTTGAAATTATGCCATCAATCATGATGATTGATTCTCATCTTTTAGTTTGTGTATCTATGTATAGAGTATTGACATTTTGTGGAGCAATTAGTTGATTGGCAGGGAAAAGCCATAATCCAAAGATAAGTGAGCGAAACTTAAAGGGATTATTCCTTGTCAGACCATTCCTCTCCTATTATGGTAGCTGCTATAACCATATATATATACGTTCCATAAAAAGGAAAAATGTTTTGATATGGTCAATATTGATTATTTTAAAATAAAGTGCTGATTTCCAGGACTGCAATATTTTAAAATTTCACACAGGAAGTGATGTCATCGACTCTTGATCTGCATATAGCAGGTAATGAGATATTAATAAGGACAAAACCAGCTGAATATTCTATTTCAATTTTGTCTATGATTTAATTCTTCAGATAATCTCATCTCTAATTCTCCCTGAAAATATTTTTGCTTTGAGAGTAAGAACCATATTTGTATAAGAGGGCTTTCATGCTTCTTTTCTTGAGTACTATGGGTAAGGTTATAAGTTTAGAGTCTTATGACATTACTTCCTGTATGAGATCTTGAAATATGGCAGCCTACTGGAAATGAGCACTTCATTTTTAAAATGATCAATATTCTGTCCCCTCAGTTTTATGCGATTATGTGCCCGTAGCATAATTCCGCATATTTTACCTTTGCCCGCATAATCCACACACAAGCGCATAAAGTTGCATAAAAGACAAAAATTCCCACTTACTTGCAATAAATGCGAACTCGGCCATTGATTTATAGATTTATAGATTAACCTGGAATGAATATGTCTTACTGGAACAGTTCCTTATCAAAATAATGACAAAATTAAAAGAAATCATAGTTCTTCATCCAAAACTTTTTAGCGGAAGCTCAGCGATGGGATGTATTTTGCGGACAACGATCCTGATCCGGCAGTTTATCTCAATGCACCTATGCCTTGTCTTTGTTCAGTTATATATATCACAAGAATATATGTTATATCATTTCGAAACAACAGCTATTAATGGTAGCTTTATTTTTAAAGCCATCATTTCATTCAATTTCTTTTGTTAAATCGATCGCATATTTTTGCATAATTCAACAAAATGAAAATCGCATTAATTTGCATTTTATCTAGAATTTAAAAAATTCCATCACATAATTTGAGATTTTTTTGCATAAAACTGAGGGGACAGAGTATTGACCATTTCAAAACATTTTCTCATGTTTTGCTAAATATGAAAAGTATAATATACATGTACCAAATATTCCATTCTTCATAGATGTATACATTTTCATCTTTCACTCAGTATATTTCTCACAGCCTATATCATTGGAATATCCTCATATTACTTAGAAAATATTCAAAGTATATATGTTTTATTTTAGCCTTTAGCATGCTGACTAATTTTGGTCATTTTATCCCGTGCAACTGACTTATTTCGCATAACTACTATGAATCTGGATGAAATTTTCACAAAACAAAGAAATATTGTCTGTTACTGTGATCAGGTATATTTCATTTATTTTTTAATAAATAAACCCTACTGTGCATACTTTACTTTGAATACCCCTCTGGAAACCACCACTACACTCCTGGGAAGACTCAATGTCGGGTCAGAATCCAAAACTGAATTTGCAGCAATCTAATGTTCAACTTTTCAGTTCAGAAAATATTCTAGTTTCTATTTTCAATGTCTATTATTGGCTTCCAAAAGCCTTAAGAGCTCAAAATCACAGTCCATATCCTCCACATTTTCATTGTGATTGTTTTTTGTCTGGGCAATAACTCCAATACTGTTTGACCAATATTTATATATTTTTTATGTATATGCCCGATGGGAGTACAAGTTCTGCTAGAAAGCTGATTTTCAAAATGACTGCCGGTTTCAAAATGACCATCATTGTGTCAATTTTACAGTGTTTTAGATACAACATATAAAACTTCAATATTGAACCTGCACCTTCCCTGAGAAAGCAATCTTGGGTTGTTCAGAGGTACTTAGTGACATTTTGAGCTTTTGACATTTCAACAAATGTGTAGCCACAATGGCTTTAATGACAGTTGATCATTGGATTTGGGTTGTTTGATTTAGATGTTTTAATTTGAAAATATTTAGGTACACAGTGCCTTATTTAGAATAAAACTTAATCCTATAATATATGTGATATTATGTTGTGTGGTTTGTGGTGAAAACTGTTTATTTAGGAAATAAGTGAATTAGAATACATTTGTACTGCCTTAACTTTTGTTGAGCATAAACTACCAACTACTACATACTTTGCACAGGTACAAAAATTGTAAGATTTCCCCATATATTAGAGATATTTAAAGTAAAATGGCATAAATAAAATGATAATTTGAAATATGGGAAGGATGTTTGATCATTGGAAGCATAAATCCACTGTATTGATTCATAAACAACTTAATGCATCACTCTTAAAGTTCATACTTAAACAATTTAATACCAATAAATTGTCTGATGAGCTATATTGTTGTTTACTGTAAAATGTTATTGAACAATCAAGAATTTATCACTTAATTATTGTTTTTAATTACATGTCCATCTCAGAACATAGGTTTTGTATATGAGTTCAAGTTGAGGATACGAATGATAGTTATGTAACTAAAACAATAATCTTCTTTACACAACCTTTATTTTGAAAACACAGAACTTGATGACCATGTTTAAGTATGTATAATTTCGCATTTCTAGCCTATCTTCATATACACTAGTCAGTATCAAACAAAGGTAACTGCGGTCACTTTCGCATCTAAGATGGCAGACAGTAATTGTTGATTTCATTGAATTAAACTACTTAATAGTTGACACAATGCTTTGATATTTGAACTAAATCAGACTTATATGACATGAGAACTCTG